TCATAACATGCAAATATCTTTCCCCATTCTGAAGATTGTTTGTTTGCTTTAATTATTGTGTCCTTAGCTGTGCAGAAGCTTTTTAGATTAAGTCCCATTTATTTATCATTGTTGTGATTGCCATTGAAGTCTTCTTCATAAAATCTTTCTCTAGGCCAATGTTATCATGAGTTTTTCCCTCATTTTCTTCTAGGATTTTTATCATTTTGTGTCTTAGATTTAAATCTTTTATGCATCAGGAATCAATTTTTATAAATGGTGAGAGATGCAGGTCCAGTTTCAGTCTTTTACATGTGGTTATCCAGTTCTCCCAGCACCATTTGTTGAATAGGTATTCTTGCCCCTGTGTATATTTTTATTTCATTTGTTGAAGATCAGATGGTGATATGAGGCTGGTTTTATCTCTATATTTTCTATTCTGTTTCGCAGATTTGTGTCTCTTTTTTCTGTGCCAATACCATGCTGTTTTGATCTCTGTGGACTTGGAGTATAACCCAAAGTCTGGTAAAATGATGCCTCTTGATTTGTTTTTATTGTTAAGAATTGCATGGTCACATGGGATTTTTTTTCTGGTTCCATACAAAATGAAGAACTCAAATCTGATGAAGACTTGATAACCAGAATCTACAGAGAACTCAAACAGGAAAAGAACAAACAACCTCGTTTATCATTGTGCAAGAGATATGAACAGAACTTTCTCCAAAGAGGATGGATAAATGGCCAACAAACACATGAAAAAATGCCCAGAGTCTCTAATCATCAGAGACATGCAAATCAAAACTACCTTACCTAACTCTAGTGAGAATAGCCTACATCACTAAGTCCCAAAGCTGCAGGTGCTAGTGTGGGTACAGAGAGAAGTCCTACTGGTGGTGGGACTGCAGACTGACATAGCCTTTTGGAAAGAAGTATGAAGAATTCTTAAAGAACTAAAAGTAGATCTTCCATTTGATCCTGCCATCCCATTACTAGGTATCTTCCCAGAAGAAAAAAAAATCATTTTACCATCTAATGACATTTGCACTAGGATGTTTATTGTAGCTCAATACACAATCACCAAAATGTGGAAACAACCTAGTGTCCATCAGCATGAGTGGATTAATAAACTATCGTATATGTATACCATGGAATACTATTCAGCCATAAAAGATGGAGACTTTACATCTTTTATATTAACCTGGATGGAGTTAAAGAACATTCTCCTTAGTAAAGTATCACAAGAATTGAAAAAACAAGTATCCAATGAACTCCATACTAATATGAAACCCGTAGATGGACAAATAACACGCTCACAATTCAAAAACACAAGTAAACTCACGTGGGAGGGAAGAGGGGGGAGAAAGGAGGATTGGTGTGCTCTCACCTAATAGGCACAATGTAAGGGTGGGGCACACCTTCTGGGGAGGGGCACAACTACAACATGGACTTTAACTAACAAATGCAAACAATGTAACCTAATTCTAATTGTACCCTCATATTAATTTGAAATAATAATAATTAAAAAAGTAACAGCTGCCACTCTGTTCTGAGCTGCTCACATCTGTCCATTCCTCAGGACAAACACTCTCATCACCGCCAATTTCAAACTATCAACATGACATTGGATTGAAGATGGGAAGAGATGTGCAGTAACATATCTTTATCTAGAATTTCAACCATATGGCTATGACAGATGTGTTAATAATCTCAAGTGCATAGATAATACACGTAGCAACACGTAGTAAATAATTAGGAAGTGATGAGTTTGGAGAATTGCCTTTATTGTTAACATAGTTTAGTTCACTGTGAGGTTATATCATTTTATTTTTAATAATAGCTGTATTTTGATAATTGATTTACAAAACTTAACAATCAGCTCTTGTGAGTCATTATGAGCCAGCTCTAGTATACCACTGCCTATGGATTGGATTAATACAGTGTTATTTGGAAAGAGACGAAAAGAGAGAGGGAATGATTCCTTACATAGTAAGATAATTTGTGGAAAAGTCTAGGGCCTGGAAATTTTGTATAGTACCCTGAATCATTGTACATAATACAGTAATAATGGTATCTGACAGTTACATAGCAAAACACATTCTTATTTAACATCCACTCATTGTTGATCCTCACAAACAAATTGACTGGAAAGCTAAGCAAGATATGTTACAGGTGAGCAGTCTGAGAGTCACACAGGAAAAATAACCCCTGACAGGTAGAGCTGAGTCTGCAGTTCTGTCCACAAGACTTCCACCCTGTCTCTTTGAACCCCTGCCTTTAACGGAGCAGCCATCTATTACAGACAGCCAAATACAGAATCTGGGATGTTGTCTCATCCCATGAATTCAGTCTAGGGGGGCTATCAAGTATCTTCATAAAGAATGAATGAAGTTGGAGGCCCACAACATGAGCAGTGAGAATCAGCTCTATGCTCTATCAGCAGCCGGGACAGCCAGTCTCTAAGATGGCCCCCAGGGATCTTCACCCTCATGTTCATGTCCTGGACTCCACACTGAACCAGGATGACCTGTGCAACCAGAAGGATGTTGCAAAAGCTGATGTGTGGCTTTGAAAGCTAGTGGTGAAGGGCACTGCAGCTTCTGCTTTGTTTTCTGAGATGACTTGTTCTGGGGGAAGCCAGGGGCTGTGTGGGGAGCACTCAAGTAGCCCTGTGGAGAAGCCTCCTGGGCGGAATGCAGGTCTCCCTCCAAGAGCCAGCATTACTTGACCGCTGTGGGAGGGAGCCACCCTGGAAGTGGTTCCTCCACCTCCAGACAAGCCTTCAGATGACTTCATTCCTGGCTGACATCTGTCTACAACCTCATGTGTGACCCCAACCTGTAATTACCCAGCTAAGTGATCCCAAATCTCTGACCCATAGAAACCATGAGAGATAACCAATGTCGTCTCTTTAAGCTACCAAGTATGGAGTCTATTTGTTACAGTAACAGATAAACCAAATTTCCTTTAAAGCTGCCCCATATGGGTGATGTCAGACAAACACAGAGAGGTATTACGGAGAGTAGCTTTGAGTAAAGTGTTTGTCTCTTTTCACCAAGGGAATTGAATTTCAAGGCAACATTTGAAAGCTTTGCACAATATAATTTTCGAAGTGCATTTTAATTGTAATGCTTTTCCGAATGACCTGTTGTTGGTAGGAAAGCACTCTTAGTACTGAGTGCGTCTGCGTATTTGAAGAGCAAGGCAGCTCGCAGTGGAATTCACTCAGGCTCGAAGTTATCTAATAGCACTTCAGACACCATCTTCACTGTCGCCTTTAATTCCTGTGGGTCCCTGGGCCTTGGCCGCACCTGCACTTTCGGAAAGCCACTGAAGTCAATAACGAAAATCAGTTAGAAAGGGAAGGACCAGGGGACCTACAGGTTGTTGGGGTAAGAATTTTAAAATCATTTGCAACCCCCCCCTCCCCGGGAAACGGAGTAGTTTTCTCTTGTCCTGGTGTCCCCGCCCGCTCTAGTTCGCTCCTAGGAAATCCGCCGGCGTCCTCACGAGCCCAAGATCTCAGGGAAGCGGAAGGCTCTCGTGACTGGCACCAAGTGTAGAATCCGGATCTCATCAGCTTCTTGGCGCATGTCCCCGGAGCTGCGGCTGGGGGGCCGAGCGCGGACCCCGGAGTCGGCACCCGACGCTGGGCGCCCTCGCGTGGGGCCGGCGGAGAGCGCGGGGTGGGTGTGCGGGCGGCGCGCCTTGTCCTCCAGCCGCAGCCCGCGCCAAGCGCGCACGGCCGCCGAGCGCCCGCGCCTCCAGCATGGAGTGGGAACTCAACTTGCTGCTCTACCTGGCGCTCTTCTTCTTCCTGCTCTTCCTACTTTTCCTCCTCCTCTTCGTGGTCATCAAGCAGCTGAAGAACTCTGTGGCCAGCACGGCCGGGGCGCTCCAGCCCGGGCGCCTCTCGCTGCACCGCGAGCCCTGGGGCTTCTCCCGCGAGCAAGCGGTGTGACCCGAGGTGCGGGCGCCGAGCCGCCCGGGCACCGGGTCGAGCGTCCGCCGCGATTCTCCGTCAGCGCGGCCGCCCAGCGCCCAGGTAGGGGGCTCCGCGGCTCTGGCCAGTCGGTTCAGGGGTGAGAGGGAGCCACAGAGGGACGAGTGTCTCCGCTCTTTGGCATGCTTGGGGCTCGCGGCAAGCTCAGGAGCCAGGGTCGCCAGGTCCATGGGATCGGGGCTGGCGCTGGGCTATTTGGGAGTTTTCCTGGGACTCTGAGAAATGGAGGGAAGAGGGGGTCACCCTTTGCACCCAGAACGGCTTTGAACACTTGCAAGCTCTTCTTTCCAGTCCAGATGCATTTTAGCCAAGGGGTGGGAAACGAAATTATTCAGCTAACTCGTTCCAGCCACTTCCAAACAAAAATCAAATGTCAAACCAAATATTCCCATTTTTTGGGAAAGACTGTGGGCTTTGGGACAGGTGGCAGGAGGACGGCATACTTGAAATGTTTCAGACCGGAGACGGTAAGTAGAGTTCGACTGGAGACGCACAGGCAGGTGGGGAGAATTCGGTGGCCCACTGCGGGGAGAAATCCTTGATCCTTACTCCTATTGCAGCCACCAACCTCATTAGTACCTGCGTATTGCCACTCTGGGTGGGTTTAGAATTTGGGGCAACCGAAGATGAACGTTACAGTGAGAGTTATTTGCAAGACACCTTTGGGTTGGCTGTAAGTGACCTTTTGGGTGATGGTAGGGAGGGCCGGCGACGAGAGGTACTGGTTTGTAAGGGAAAAAGAAGACGGGGGCGGAGGAGCGGTTCTGTGGTTGCAGGTTAAATGATTAGAGCAGCTTTTGCAGAGGGATTGATCGGCAGGAGTAAACTCACTAGCTTGCCCTAAGCACCCTCCGAGCAACGTTAGTTTGGGAAGTAACTTCATCTTCCAGATGCTTTTTCCTAGGTTTATGTCGCCTCGCCTTCTGGAGCGAGCTGCTGCCCTTGGCGGGCGCGCAGAGGACCGCAGCTGCAGTGACCGCTTGGGAGCCCTGCAAGGAGAAGGCAGGAATAATGGGAGATGGAAGCTTTGGTAGGCAAAGATGCAAACGGTGAGTTGGGACCACCCATGGTTTCATGTTGCCCCTAGTTAGGGCTAAACTTCTGAAGACCCAGAGCCTAAAAAGGTGAGGGGCCACGAAGGGGCAAATGGGTACCGTGAAGTAAAGGGCTTTCCCCCAACTCGGAACTGTGAACTTCTGCTGGAACCAGGAAGACAAACTAATTCCTATCTCTTTGCAAGAATCAGTGTCTAGGTAAAAGATTACGAAAATTAAAGATGTCAGTGTTTGCAATTTTAATAATCATTCTGCTGTTTTGGAAAACAATGCAGGGGTTCATGGAGTGAAATACGTGATGGAGATAAAACTTCTCTTCAATAGAGAAAAATTTGGGGTTTTATCATGTTAGGGTGAGATAAACTGTTGGTGTCATGAATGTAGTATTGAAAATACTTGTTAATTTTAAACATAAAGAAAGACCAGATAGAGAAGCTAAAAACAATGAAATACTAGATTTTGCCCAAGTTGACATTCTAAAAATGAAGTGTGAGGCAGTTATTTTGATACTTCAAAGGAAGGAAAAATAGTCTCAGGTGAATAATTATGGTAAGAGTTTTTGGCCTGAGACATTCAGGTAATTTTCCATATTTCCTATTTCACTTTGCCAGAATAGACCTGTTCTTAATTGAGTGCTTTATTTTAATTGTTAAGTCATGAGCGAATTCTCACCTCTTTACTGGAGTTATAGTAAGCAACTATTTAAAACCCCAGTTTGAATTTCCTGAATCAGCTGCAGTGATTCTGTATTGTGCTAAGAACAATAGTTCTCTAATTGGTTGATGCCTCCGCAGTGGCACTTAGTTAAAGGGTTGTGTGGTTAATATGAGCATTGAAGATGAATTAGGAGTAATTATTTAAAAATTACAGCCTTTCATAAGGATAGAAAACAATCATTTCATACTTTATAATAAACAGAGTACAAATGACTTTAGCCACCTGCTTGGCTTCTTGATTATGTAATCCTTTAATCTTCCTAGCAGTGCCACTGGTGTTCAGAAGTTTTACCGGCCCATGATTCTTTCTAGACAGAAGAACTCTCTGTCAGTTCTACTGACTTAGGTTCCCTAAGAAAGTCAGGGTTGCCTTTTTATCTTGTGTCCAGTGCCATTTTATAACCTCCTTATAATTGAACTCATTAATTACTAAGTTCCTTTTTATCTGGGCAAAAAAAAAGAAAGCAAATGTTTTTCCTATTAGTCAAACTCTGTTCAAAACTTGGCCCTAGGCTCGTTGCCCATAGCTCAGTGAATAGGGTGCCAGCCACATACACTGAGGCTGGTAGGTTCAAGCCCAGCCTGGGCCTGCTGAACAACAATGAGAACTACAACCCAAAATGGCTGGGCTTTGGGGCAGGTGCCTGTAGTCTCAACTACTTGGGAGGCTGAGGCAAGAGAATCGCTTAAGCCCAAGAATTTGAGGTTGCTGTGAGCTGTGATGCCACAGCACTCTACCAAGAGTGACATAGTGACACTCTGTCTCAAAATAACCCCCCCAAACAAACAAACAAACAAACAAAAAAACTTAACCCTAAACTCTGGGAGACTTAAGGTTGCTCATATTCACTCTTTGAATTTACTGCTGTTGGTCTCCTGCCCTGCCCTTGCTTTGTCAGAGATTTTCTTTTGGATCTTTGACACCTGTATAGATGAGCTGCCTTGTTTTACTCATTTATTCAATCATCATTTTTCCATGACCCTGCATAGACTGATCTCCCAAATTAGAACTACTTTGAACTCACATTTTTTTGCTACCTGTATACATTTTTAGCTTAGATTAAATACTTGGACACCCACAATGGTCTAGGTTCCAGGTTTCTATGTGTGGGGTACTCCATTCACTGACCTCCTGCTGGTTCAGACAGATGCTATGCCAAGTCTATTTGTAAAGGTTGTATACATATGAGCTAGATATTAAACATTTAAAAGTCAGGGCATTTAAAATGACTGCTCATTATGTAAGTGTAACTTGATTATAGAAGATTTTTGTGTTTTATTTTCAATTAAAGGTTTTTAGTGACTCTTAAGCAATGTTAGTAGTCGAGTTGAATTTCTTATAAGAAAATGAGCTATAATTCTATCATTCAATGTTCATATTTTATTTCGAGTGCTATTATTTCATTACTGTTTCTAAATTTCAGCTGTTCTAAATGTCTTCGAATCTTATTAGGATGATCTTGATCTTTGCACCAATTTCCAAACTTGGAAGTAAGTGCAGTGGATCTACAGTTCCACTCGGCAAGATAACCATTTTGAATGGTTTGAATGAGAATGACATCACACTCACACCTGCAAAATCTAAAATGTCTAATAAAGTAGATTCCTATGTCTGAACTTCAATTTTAGGGCACAGCTGTAGATGCAGAACTGATGCCATCTGGTGTGATTCTACAGAATAAGAGAGAAAATTTACCCAGAGTGTGCCATGCACTGGCTTTTCTGGGAATGACAAGGTGCCAGGATTTGTTTTTGGTTCACTTGCAGGGGTGGAAACTTGGAACTAGGTGAGTAAAAAATATGTGATATCCTATTTTTAGCTTGACATTCCATGTTGCCAATTTTGTCTATAGTTTTGAAATAAGTGCAATAGAGTTAAATTTTAAACAGCTAAAATTTTAGAGATTGTAAATGGTTAAGCAATTTCAGATAGTGGGGAATACTTATTTTTTCTAAGTCATATTTACTCATCTAGGGGCTTTTAGAATGCTGAAGATAATGAATGTGGTACATAGAAAGTCTACAGTGTATTGTCCTTAAAAAGTTGGTAGCCACTCTGAGGTATTTGTGCATATTTTGACTAATAAACCACAATGAACTTTCTAGGATCACTAGAATATCACTGTCAGATGTCTATGTCACATGCATGGGAAAGTTAAGAATTTAACTGTAGATCTTTGATACAGCCTTTTTTTGGTTTGAATCAGTGAAATAAATTTCTCAATTCTCCATTTTAATTTTGTCTACAGAAAATAATAAAGTGATAGGTTAGTAAGATCTGATCTGATTAGTTGTCTGAGTAGTGAGTATCTTTCCACACAGGAGGTTAGGTAATCAGAAGGGCAGACCCATGTTTGGACCAGTAATCAGAACCCAATAGGCACTTGGAAATAGCTTCCTGTTGGATTGAAGTTAAACGACCCTCTTATTTTCCTTAGTAGCAGCTTCTCAGCTTGATCATTTCTGCCATTCTTGGTCTGTAGACACATCCTGTGGACACAAGTGGGTTCAAATTAAAACTTTTATATTCAACCTTTGTTTTATTAGTATGATTCTGAAGTTAGTTGGATTTATTGAGTAGATATAGTCTTTAGGAAGACATTTTTGACTTTCAGTTGAAAATATCATTTCCCTACTGGGAGTCAAGATGGATTGCTAACTTGATAATAGAATAAGTTACCAGTCTGAATAGTGGCTTAAACAAATGGGAGGTTTTGTTCTTTTCTCATGTAACAAGGAGGCTTGAGGTAGGTAGCTGCTTGTGCTGGTTAAGCAAATTATAGGCGTCAGGCTGAATGGAGGTGGCTGCTGAGGTTCCTTTGGCTTCTTCCTCTAGGTTCCACGATGGTCCCTATAGCTCCCTACAAGAAGAAGGAGGAAACCCAGAGGGAAAAGAGGGCATCCCAGTCTGAATCTCTATCCTTTTCAAGAGCTTTCTCAGTAGCCTGAAAACTTTTGCTTACGTCTCATTGGCCAGAACTGTGTCATTGGCTACTGCTATCTGCAAGATTGCCTGAGAAATGTAGTTTATGTAGCTAGACATATAACTGCCTTCAACAAAAATCTAAGTTCTCTTCATAGGAACAAGATGGTTGTGGATCTTGGGTGGAAAACTAGTAGTTTATCCCCTAGTTACGAAACACAGTGGTAAAGGAATGTAATGTTTGAAAAAGATGAAAATTGTAGCTCTTTCACAACTGGAAAAACTCCAAGCAACACTTCTCAACTGTGACAGAGGGAACAGAGTGAAGACATGTCAGGTTTTCCCAAGAAACACTCGACAGAACTGACCTTTTCTCTCAGTCTATTTGTCTCACATCAGGATTTTCTAGAGGCGGTCTGTGGGGACCTGCACACTTCCTTGGTGGGCATAATCTCTTTGTGGAGTGTTGGTATAGGAAAAAAAATGTTCTACTTTGATGCTTCCTTATAAAAAAAGGCCACCTCTTTTATGCATGGAGGAGAGTAATCTATGCAAAGAAGAGTGATCATACTCCCTCTGTGACTCCACCACCAATCTAGGAATATCCTGGGAGAAGAACTGCCTCTCAGAGCTGCTTCCATTAGCAGCCTACATCCTGGCTAAGCAAAGGGAGAAGAAACACTTCCCACATCCAGGGCTGTCTAAAAGAACTTTGTGTGATGACAGAAATGTTCTATCTCTGCGGTGTCCAGTATGGTAACCACCAGCCGCATGTGGCTAGTGAATACTTGAAATGTGGCTAGTGTGCCTGAGAAAGTCAAATTTAGATTTTATTTAATCATAATTCATTTAAATAGCCACATGGGTCTCGTGGCCATTGTACCAGACAACATAGTATACATTCCTCTCTTGCTTGTGTTTTAGAACCTACTGAGAGAAATGTGGACCTGTCATGAGCTTGTTTTCCCATGGTCTTTACCATTCCACCTTTCCCTCGGACGTGTCCCCCAGAGGAAAAGAAAAAAATGATATTTTGAAACTCATTTAAGATGCTAACTTGACATCTGTATATTGCACGCATTCTTGTAGTGAACGGAATGGTCTCCTGGAAACTGGTTCTGTTATTGATTTTAGTGATAATGGTGAATGAAAAAATGGCTTTGTTGGTCCACTTAACCTTCCTAGTGACTATTGTATGTTCCTAGTCAGGGATTCAGCAGAGGTTATTTCATTCTGCTGTCCAATTTATCCTATGTTATTTTATTTTTGTAATAATGTGGCTACTAAATGATTATCCTGTGTATGTTTTTTAGTGTTTATATTTTTTAAAGGCTGTGAAATAAAAATAAACTATATGTAACTCAGTTTTTTTTAATGTGATTTTTTTTGGTGAATTATTGTTACCCAAACTTTGTTAAGAGTTAATTAGGATGAGATTAATAGGTAGAAATATTTATTTTTATATTACATCTCCTTTTTAATGGGCAAATCTATATGCTAATTAATGTTAAATTTTTGAAATATTAAATGATTCTTCCATTATATTTAGAGTTTCAGTAAAGTAAGAAGGGTTTAGCATTATTGGATTTAATTCTATTCTCAGGTATTTGGTTTTGTCCCTGAGCATCACTTGGACCTTGCTTCTCCAAAAGTGCCTGTTTTGGAGTTTTTGTCTTTTATTATTGATTTGTAGAAATTCTTGATATTTCTTGACATTGCACCATTATTAGATATGTGCTTTGCAAATGTGTTCTCTCAGTTTGTGCCTAGTTTATTCATTTTATTAACAGTGTATTTAAAATATATATTTTTTAATTTGAAGTTTAATTTATTTGCTTTTTTCTTTAATGTTTATTGGTTTCTGTGGTCTAAGAGACTTTTGCCTATCCCTTAGGTCACCAAATAGATTCTCCTATATTTTCTTCTAAGCTAAAAACTTTACAGTTTTAACTTCTACTGGGTCCATGATCATCTTCAACTTGTTCTTATGTATGGTGTGAAGTAAGGATTCTTTCCACCCAGAGAAACAGGATTTAAAAAAACACATATATATATATGTTATTTTTTAATTGATTGAAAAGACTTTCCTTTCCCCACTGGATTAGTTTGGCATCTTTGTTAAAATCAAACAACCATATCAGGGTGGGTCTGTTTTGGGTTCTCTGTTCTGTGGCACAGGAAGTCCTGATGCTGTTCCTATGTTACCTTGATTACTGTAAGTTTTATAGTAAGTCTTGGTATTCACTTATAAAATGTAGGGGATCTGAACTTTATTAATAAACTATTACTTAAAGGCTGAGTCTATACCTTCTAACAGGATTGAGTAATTTCAGTTGAAAATGGTTAAATTTCAATAAGAAAACCCCATCCAACACCATGTGGCCTTTATTCCTGTTCCAGGTGCCACCCAGAATATGAGTCCAAATCTGGGGCAGCTCTCGGTCAAGACCATCAGTACCAATGTCCTCTTTTCTGTTATTATAGTCAAGAGTAAACTGTACTTTTTAAAAGGGAAATTTACTAGAAGGCTGAAGTGATAATACAACAAAGCACAAGACTCATGAGTTCCAGCTTCTTTACCAACTTGAGTCTAGCTGCAGATTGGACTGCCTGGCTCAAGTATCCCAATGTTGTCCATTTTGCCTTTTTCCTCTCATCTGGGCAGTGTCTGACTTTTGAGTGGTTGGATACTGAATTGTGCTTTTTATAAATGTTTCTGGAGGTGGCTCGATGGACACTAAGTTACATCTCAAGCCCCATTTTTACTTGAACGCTGTTTTTACATCTCAAGCCCCATTTTTACTTGAACGCTGTTTCCCAGGCACACTGCTGCTTGTCCTTTATGCATCTCAACTTGGAACTCATTGCAAAGTTTTGACCCATAGTGGGAAAGTGAGAGGTCTCCTCCATGTCACACTACTGTAATCTCATTCTCCTCCTCGGAGCTAACCGGTGGTACTGGCTTGGTGTAAATCTTTTGAAATAATTTTCTGGGCATTTGCCACACATATTGTCACATTTATCCATATCTGCGTACATGTACACCAAAAGTTTTTTCTTTTTTATACAGATGGCATCAGATTACAAATATTGTGCTAGATGCTTTCTTCTCTAATATGTTATGGCAGGTTGTATTTTCAGAAAATGGTCACTGCAGTATCCTCCCCTCTCCCCATAATCTCACAATGTGACCTTGACATCCTGACATTTTGAGACAGAGTCTAGTCCCCTCCCCTTGCTTCTGGGCAGGCTTGGTGATAACAGAATGTGGCAGAAGTGACCCTGTATGACTTATGAGCTCAATCAGGAAAGGCAATGCATTTTCTCCATTGTTGGGTGGATTACTCACTTGTGAAGCCCTGAGTCACCATGTAAGATTGGCGTATCCTGAGGTCATCATCATTCTCTGAGGAGGCCCAGGCAGAGGAGAGGCCTCATGTGAGTGCTCTAGTAGAGAGCCCCAGCTGAGATCTCAGCTAGCAGATTCCAACCTCTACATTCCTCTACCTCCTTAGCTCCCAGCTATTGAATCCTCCTAGATGAGGGCCCAGACATCATGGGGCAGAGACAAGCCAGTCTCATTCTGCTCTGTCTGATCCTGGTTGTTGTTTTAGCTCACTAACATATGAATAAGTTTGTTATAGTGATAGTAACTGGAACATGGATCTTAAAGAGTTGTAGTGAAAACAGAATCATTCTTATTATTTTAAATTATTGTATGGTACACTCATCAATTTATTTAAAAAGTACAATGAACTTATTGCCCATTTTTCTGTAGGTTGTACTTATAGAAGTATGATTGCTGGGCTATCCGATTTAGAAATCACAAGAATTAGGAGAAATGGACAATCTGTATCCTAAATGACTGTGTCAGTATATGAGGGCTATCCAGAAAGTATCCAGCCATGTAACATGAAACATACACACATACATGGCTGGGTATTTTATGGACAGCTTTTATATATTCATCTACTTCCCTATTTGACGTAGGGGTCTTTAAAAAATTTGTCATTTCTTAAAGAAAAACACATAAAAAACCTTAGTGGTATGATTTGAAAAATCATGAGGAAGTTTGATACTCTTGTTTCATATTTATTAATCATTTATGTTTTCTCTTCTCTAATTCTTTATTTATATCCTTTTTTTTTT